AGCAGCAAGAGACAAGAGATCCTTAATTTATATGGGGAGAAGTATTAAGTTAACAGCAGACCTTTCCACAGAGACCTGGCAAGCCAGAAAGGGCTGGCAGGATATATTCAGGGTCCTAAATGAGAAGAACATGCAGCCAAGAATACTATATCCAGCAAGGGTCTCATTCAGAAAATACAGAGCTTCCAAGATAGGCAGAAACTGAAAGAATATGTGACCACCAAACCAGCTCTGCAAGAAATATTAAGGGAGACTCTGTAAAAGAAAGAGGAAGCCCCAAAAAATAAGCCACAAAAACAGGGACTGAATAGGTACTATGATGACACTAAATTAATATCTTTTTTTTAAACATTTATTTTCTTAATGTTTTTATTTATTTATTTATTCAGAGAGAGAGAGAGAGAGAGAGAGAGAGGCAGACACACAGGCAGAGGGAGAAGGAGGCTCCATGCAGGGAGCCTGACGTGGGACTCAATCCCGGGTCTCTAGGATCACACCCTGGGCTACAGGCAGTGCTAAGCCACTGCACCACCAGGGCTGCCCATATTAATATCTTTCAATAGTAACTCTGAATGTGAATGAGCTTAATGATCCCATCAAAATACACAGGGTTTCAGACTGGGTAAAAAAGCAAGACTCATCTATTTGCTGTCTACAAGAGACTCATTTTAGACCTAAGGACACCTACAGTCTGAAAATGAAAGGCTGGAGAACCATTTACCATTCAAATGATCCTCAAAAGTAAGCAGGGGTAGCCATCCTCATATCAGATAAATTAAAGTTTATCCCAAAAACTGTAGTAAGAGATGAAGAGGGACGCTATATCATACTTAAAGGATCTATCCAACAAGAGGACCTAACAATCATGAATATTTATGCCCCTAATGTGGGAGCTGCCAAGTATATCATTCAATTAACAACCAAAGTAAAGACATACTTAGATAATAATACACTTATACTGGGAGACTTCAACACGGCACTTTCTGCAAATGACAGATCTTTTAAGCACAACATCTCCAAAGAAACAAGAGCTTTAAATGATACACTGGACCAGATGGATTTCACAGATATTTACAGAACTTTACATCCAAACACAGCTTAATACACATTCTTCTCAAGTGCACATAGAACTTTCTCCAGAATAGACCACATACTGGGTCACAATTCAGGTCTTAACCAATACCAAAAGATTGGGATTGTTCCCTGCATATTTTCAGACCATAATGCTTTGAAATTTGAACTAAATCACAAGAAGAAATTTGGAAGAAATTCAAACACATGGAAGTTAAAGACCATCCTGATAAAAGATGAAAGAGTCAACGAGGAAATTAGGGAAGAATTAAAAAGATTCATGGAAACTAATGAGAATGAAGATACAACCGTTCAAAATATTTGGGATACAGCAAAAGCAGGCCTGAGAGGGAAATACATTGCAATACGAGCATCCCTCCAATAAATTGGAAAAAACTCAAATACAGAAGCTAACCTTGCACCTAAAGGAACTGGAGGGGGATCTACACTCAGGGGGATCCCTGGGTGGCTCAGCGGTTTAGCGCCTGCCTTTGGCCCAGGGCGCGGTCCTGGGGTCCCGGGGTCGAGTCCCGTGTCGGGCCCCCGGTGTGGAGCCTGCTTATTCCTCTGCCTGTGTCTCTGCCTCTCTCTCTCTCTCTCTCTCTCTCTCTCTATGTCTATCATGAATAAATAAATAAATAAATCTTGAAAAAAATGTTAAAAAAAAAAACCTACACCCAGCAGAAGACTAGAGTTAATAAAGATTCAAGCAGAACTCAATGAAATAGAGACCAGAAGAACTGTGAAATAGACAACAAAACCAGGAGTTGGTTCTTTGAAAGAATAAGATAGATAAACCATTAGCCATTCTTATTAAAAAAAACAAAAGAAAAAAGAAAGAGAAAAGACTCTAATCACGAATGAAAAAGGAGAGATCACAACCAATACTAAGGAAATACAAATGATTTTAAAACATATTATGAGCACCTATATGCCAATAAATTAGGCAATCCTGAAGAAATGGACACATTTCTGGAAAACCACAAACTACCAAAACTGTAATAGGAAGAAATAGAAAACCTGAACAGGCCAATAACCAGAGAGGAAATTGAAGCAGTCATCAAAAACCTCCTAAAACACAGAAGCCCAGAGTCAGATGGCTTCCCAGGAGAACTCTATCAAACGTTTAAAGAAAAAACCATACCTATTCTACTAAAGCTGTCTGAAGATAGAAAGGGATGGAATACTTCCAAACTCCTTCTATGAGGCCAGCATCACCTTAATTCCAAAACCAGACAAAAACCCCATCCAAAAGGAGAATTATAGAGCAATATCTCTGATGAACACAGATGCAAATATTCTAACAAGATACTAGCCAATAGGATCCAACAGTATATTAGAAGATTATTCACCATGACAAAGTGGGATTTATCCCTGGGAATGCAAGTCTGGTTCAACACTCATAAAGCAATCAAGGTGATAAATTAAATCAACAAGAGAAAAAACAAGAACCATATGATCCTCTCCATAGATGCAGAGAAAGCATTTGACAAAATACAGCATCCATTCCTGATGAAAACTCTTCAGAGTATAGGGATAGAGGGAGCATTCCTCAGTGTCTTAAAAGCCATCTATGAAAAGCCCACAGCAAATATCATTCTCAATGGGGAAACACTGGGAGCCTTTCCCCTAAGATCAGGAACAAGACAGGGATGTCCACTCTCAACACTGCTATTCAACATAGTACTAGAAGTCCTAGCCTCAGCAACCAGGCAACAAAAAAAGAAATAAAAGGCATTCAAATTGGCAAAGAAGAAGTCAAACTCTCCCTCTTTGCAGATGACATGATACTGTTCATAGAAAACCCAAAAGACTCCACCTCAAGATTGCTAGAACTCATACAGCAATTCGGCAGTGTGGCAGGATACAAAATCAATGCCCAGAAGTCAGTGGCATTTCTATACGCTAACATGAGACTGAAGAAAGAGAAATTACGGAGTCAATTCCATTTACAATTGCACCCAAAAGCATAAGATACCTAGGAATAAACCTAATGAGAGAGGTAAAGGGTCTATACCCTAAAAACTACAGAACACTTCTGAAAGAAATTGAGGAAGACACAAAGAGATGGAAAAATATTCCATGCTCATGGATTGGCAGAATTAATATTGTGAAAATGTCAATGATACCCAGGGAAATTTACACATTTAATGCAATCCCTATCAAAATACCATGGACTTTCTTCAGAGAGTTGGAACAAATCATCTTAGAATTTTTGTGGCATTCGAAAAGACCCCGGATAGCCAGGGAAATATTGAAAAAGAAAACCATATCTGGGGGCATCACAATGCCAGATTTCAGGTTGTACTACAAAGCTGTGGTCATCAAGACTGGTACTGGCACACAAACAGACCTATAGATCAATGGAACAGAATAGAGAATCCAGAAATGGGCCCTCAACTCTATGGTCACCTAATATTCAACAAAGCAGGAAAGACTATCCACTGGAAAAAGGACAGTGTCTTTAATAAATGGTGCTGGGAAAATTGGAGAGCCACATGCAGAAGAATGAAACTGGACCATTCTCTTACACCATACACAAAGATAAACTCAAAATGGATGAAAGATCTAAATGTGAGACAAGATTCCATCAAAGTCCTAGAGGAGAACACAGGCAACACCCTTTTTGAACTTGGCCACAGTAACTTCTTGCAAGATACATCTATGAAGGAAAGAGAAACAAAAGCAAAAATGAATTATTGGGACTTAATCAAGATAAAAAGCTTCTGCACAGCACAAGAAACCACCAACAAAATTAAAAGACAACCTACAGAATGGGAGAAGATATTTGCAAATGACATATCAGATAAAGGGCTAGTATCCAAGATCTATAAAGAACTTATTAAACTCAACACCCAAGAAACAAACAATCCAATCATGAAATGGGCAAAAGACATGAACAGAAATCTCACAGAGGAAGACATAGACATGGCCAACAAGCACATGAGAAAATGCTCCGCATCACTTGCCATCAGGGAAATACAAATCAAAAGCACCAGGAGATACTACATCACACCAGTGAGAATGTTGAAAATTAACAAGACAGGAAACAACAAATGTTGGAGAGGATGTGGAGAAAGGGGAACCCTCTTGCACTGTTGGTGGGAATGTGAACTGGTGCAGCCACTCTGGAAAACTGTGTGGAGGTTCCTCAAAGAGTTAAAAATAGACCTGCCCTACGACCCAGCAATTGCACTGCTGGGGATTTACCCAAAAGTTACAAATGCAGTGAAACGCCGGGACACCTGCACCCCGATGTTTCTACTAGCATTGTCCACAGTAGCCAAACTGGAAGGAGCCTTGGTGTCCATCGAAAGATGAATGGATAAAGAAGATGTGGTCTATGTATAGAATGGAATATTACTCAGCCATTAGAAACGACAAATACCCACCATTTGCTTCGACGTGGATGGAACTGGAGGGTATTATGCTGAGTGAAGTAAGTCAGTCGGAGAAGGACAAAATTATATGGTCTCATTCTTTTGGGGAATATAAAAAATAGTGACAGGGAGTAAAGGGGAAAGGAGAGAAAATGAGTGGTGACTGAACATGAGAGATCCCTAACTCTGGGAAACAAACAAGGGGTAGTGGAAGGGGAGGTGGGCAGGGGTTTGGGGTGACTGGGTGACAGGCATTGAGGGGGGCACTTGATGGGATGAGCACTGGGTGATATTCTATATGTTGGCAAATTCAACTCCAATTTAAAAATAAATAAAAAATAAAAGTAAATAAAAATAAAAATAAATAGCCCCACTGGCTGCTCTGAAAAGCCATCTTTGCATTGTTCCTGTGTCTGGCTCCCTGTCGTCGCAACTACCTCTGCCTCGCGCCTCCTCTGCCACTGCGGACTCCGGCAGCTCCCTCGCCAGAGTCCTCGAACTCTTGCTCTCTTTTTAATCTGCTGCATTGGATCACAGGCGTGCCCCATCATGTCAGAAGCATCTGTGGACACCAGCTCCGAGATCACCACCAAGGACTTAAAAGAGAAGAAGGAAGTTGTGGAGGAGGCAGAGAACGGAAGAGACGCGCCTGCTAATGGGAAAGCTAATGAGGAAAATGGGGAGCAGGAGGCTGACAATGAGATAGATGAAGAAGAGGAGGAAGGAGGGGAGGGAGAGGAGGAGGAGGATGAAGATGAGGAGGCCGAGGCAGGTACGGGCAAACGGGCAGCTGAAGACGATGAGGAGGACGGCGTCGACCCCAAGAAGCAGAAGACTGATGAGGATAACTAGACAGCAAAAAAAAAAAAAAAAAAAAGGAAAAGTTAAACTTAACAAACAAACAAAAGGCCACCGTGACCTATTCACCCTCCACTTCCCATCTCAGAATCTAAACGTGGTCACCTTGGAGTAGAGAGTCCTACCTGCCTGCCCAACACGGTCCACGCCACCCGCAGATGACACACGCTCTCCGCCACCCAACCAAAGCCACAACGTGAATGTGCAACAGGGGAGGAAAAAAGAACCAAAACTTCCAAGGCCCTGCTTTTTTCTTAAAAGTACCTTAAAAAGGAAAATTTGTATTTTTTATTTACATTTTATATTTTTGTACATATTGTTAGGGGTCAGCCATTTTTAATGATCTCGGATGACCAAACCAGCCTTTGGAGCATTCTCTGTCCTACTTCTGACTTTACTTGTGGTGTGACCATGTTCATTATAATCTCAAAGGAGAAAAAAAAAACCTTGTAAAAAAAACAAAAACAGGGCCGCCCCGGTGGCACAGCGGTTTAGCGCCGCCTGCGGCCCAGGGCGTGATCCTGGAGACGAGTCCCACGTCGGACTCTCTGCATGGAGCCTGCTTCTCCCTCTGCCTGTGTTTCTGCCTCTCTCTCTCTCCGTGTGTCTATGAATAAAGAAATAAAATATATATATAAAAAAAAAAAACAAAACCAACAAAAAAACAATCTTATTCCGAGCATTCCAGTAACTTTTTTTGTGTATGTACTTAACTGTACAATAAGTGGTTTGTTTGTATGAGATGGTTAAAAAGGCCAAAGATAAAAGGTTTCTTTTTTTCCTTTTTTGTCTATGAAGTTGCTGGGTTTTTTTTGGCCTGTTTGATGTATGTGTGAAACAATGTTGCCCAACAATCTACCAGAATTTTATTTTGCTGAGTTGTTCTAATAAATAAATAAATAGATAAATAAATAAATAAATAGAAATAAAAATAAATAAATAAAAATAAAATAAAAAGAAATGAGGGAGGTGCTTTGAGTCCATGTGTGACCTTAGATTAGCCTCTGAAACTCACTGGCCTCCAATACTGAAACCCAGAATAATGATTTATTTGGTCTGTTTTCTACATACAATCAGTATCTGATGGTCCCACTTTAGCTCTTTCTGGGCCTGGGTATCTTGGAGTCTCAATCATCTTGCCCTCAGATTAAACCACTAATGCAGGAGGCTCTGCTATATAGTTACCCTGTACCTTGCCAAGGTGGCTCTATATTAGGCCTACCTCTTCTATATTCAGCTATCTTCTGTGTACTCCACATAGAGTACACTGGGCTTTCTCAATCTTCTGAACTCCACACAAGTCATAGGGAATCTATCTTTTTCAATGCTGCTCTTTGGCTCCTGAGTCATTTTAGGTGTGGCCCTATCCACATGTGGTCATACTGGAAGGGCCTCCATAATCCACAGGTATGGTGAGGACAGCTGGTCACTACCTCTGATGTTCTTTGATTTCCATATGACCATTTATATGTACCACTACTTCTTGTGATTCCCCAATGTCTGGCCCTGAGAGGGGGATAATATGAAGATGTTAAAATCTGATCTCACATACCATTTTTTCCCTCTAAAGGTATGCAGAAGCCTTCCTCCTCTTCTTAACTGGTGGCCACTTTGCAGCCCTAAATCCTGAATTTTCTCCATCTTACACTTACGATAGAACTCCTGTTCAGTGCTCTAAACTTAGCTTTTGATATATAAAGAGATGCATTTATTTAGAAATCTCTTCACAGGGATGCCTGGGTGGCTCAGCGCTAGAGCATCTGCCTTTAGCCCAGAGCATGATCCTAGAGTTCCAGGATCGAGTCCTACAGCAGGCTCCATGCATGGAGCCTGCTTCTCCCTCTGCCTGTGACTCTGCCTCTCTCCCTCCGTCTCTCATGAATAAATAAATAAAATCTTAAAAAAAAAAAAAAAAAAGAAAAAGAAAAACCAAGGATGGTCCAGTGTGTACAAATGGCTTAATGTGGAGAGAGGAGCAGTCATCCCAGATGAAGTGATAAAGAGTATGTCTAACTAAAGAATTTTTAAATTTTTTAAATTAATTAATTCATTCATTTTTCCGAGGGTGGGGAGGAGGACAGGGAGAGGGAGAGAGAGACACTTCAGCAGGATCCACACCCAGCCTGACATGGTGTGTCACAACCCTGAGATCAAGACCTGAGCTGAAATCAAGAGTCAGAGGCTCAGCCAACTGAGCAACCCAGGTGCCCCTGTAGAGAATTTAAAACAAAATAAAACCTACTAAAAGTTTACTTTTTATCAGCAGCATGAGTCAGCAATTCTAAACAATATCAGTGATAAAACATTTCCCAGACTTCCAATTTCTACTAGGACATGTAAAGAGCTTGAAAGTTGTCACTCTGCACTTAGTACAAGAAAAAGTTGAGCAAACAGAATCAATAACTTTTCTTGAACTCATCAGAGAACTGAGGCTACAAGACAAATCACCACCCCAAATTCCGGAGAAACGACTCCTTCAGGGCCACAGCTGAAATCTTGCTTAAAGCAGAAACTGCTGGAGCCATAAACTGGTGGAAACACTAAACTGGTTACAGCGACAAATTGCCAGATGGAGGAGAATGAGAGAGAGAGAGAGAGAGAGAGAGAGAGAGAGAGAGAGAATATCCTGAGAGTTGAAGTCTGGAGGGGACTACCACAGTTTCATTCAGTCTTACCCCTAGGAGCCCCACCAGATCCTCATGGTGAAGATCCAAGAAGAGCTCCTCGTAGTTGTGGAATGGGGAAAGCAGGAAGAAGGGAAGAAAATCCTACAGTCCAGAGCTTTCTCCATAACACAACAGATCTACTCTCCAAGAGAGTTCATAGAACATGTGTCCCATCAATGATAAAGGCAATTGTTTGACTCCAGACCCATCCACCCTTTCTATCTCTTCCAATAGAGGAATAAAGCTAAGAAAAACTTGTGAAGTTATAGCCTAGAGACACATTGAAAGACTCAAGTTCAATAATAAGATTACAGAATGTTCACTTTCCTGCACCTTAACAGGAACACCCGCAGGGCTCTAGTATAATGACAGTGTATCACAGCTGAAAGAGCTGCAAGGTGCAAATTTTGTCAATGAGGAGGTCTCAAGGAAGCCCAATTCTAACACGGAAGACTAAAAACAAGACACTAAAAGAACTATATCAGGGCTTACACTACATCCAGTTTCTAAGAATGGGAGTTAGGGAAGACTGTCTTTCTCACTCCTATTTAACATTTGTCTTATTCAGTTCAGGCTGCTATAACAAATTACCATGATAGGCTGGGTGGTTTAAATAAGAAACATTTAGGGATGCCTGGGTGGCTCAGGGGTTGAGTGTCTGCCTTTAGCTCAGGGTGTGATTCCAGGATCCGGGATTCAGTCCTGCATCGGGCCTCCTGCACAGAGCCTGCTTCTCCCTCTGCCTGTGTCTCCACCTCTCTCTCTCTCTGTGTCTCTCATGAATAAACAAATAAATCTTAAAAAAAAAAAACATTTCTCAAAATTCTGAAGGCTGGGAAGTCTGAGAACAGTCTATCAGCATGATAAGATTCTTAGTAAGGACCCTCTTCCTGGTTATATCCTTACATAACCTTTCTTTGCTGTATACAAGCAGAAAAAGAGATCCTGTGCCTTTTCTTCTTTCATAAGAACATTAATCCTATCCTATGCGCCCCACCCTCATAACCTACTGTGCTTATTACTTCCCAAATACCTCACCTTCAAATACCATCTCATTGGGGATTAGTGTTTAAACACATGAATTTGGGGAAGACCCAAATACTCAGTCCATAGCAATATCATATTGGAAGTCCTGGCTACTGCAATAAAAAAAAGAAATGGAAATAAAATACGTGCAGATTGGAAAGGAAGAAATAAAATGGTTTTTGTTTGCAAATGACATAATTGCCTATATAGAAAAATCCCAAAAAACCTGTGGAACTGCAGGCATACCTCAGAGATGTTGCAGGTTCAGTCCCAAACCTTCACAATAAGGCAAATATCACAATAAAACAAGTCAAATTATTTTTTTTTTGGTTTCACAGTGCATATAAAATTATGTTTATACCATACTGTAGTCTATTAAGTAGGCAACAGCATCATGTCTAAAGGAACAATGTATATACCTTAATTAAAATATACTCTATTGGAAAAAAAAATAAAATATACTCTATTGGGCAGCCCCGGTGGCACAGCAGTTTAGCGTCCCCTGCAGCCCAGGGTGTGATCCTGGAGACCAGGGATCGAGTCCCACATCAGGCTCCCTGCATGGAGCCTGCTTCTCCTTCTGCCTGTGTCTCTGCCTCTCTCTCTCTCTCTGTCTGTCTCTCATGAATAAATAAATAAAATCTTCAAAAAAAATACAGAAACAGTATATAATTTATAAATTCATCGAATGGTAAAAAATGGTTAATATGTTCCAAAGAAGGATATACCATTTTCCTGAATTTTGTGGTCTCCTTATACTGCCTTTTATCATGAACACATACCAGTATTCCTTGATCAGTTACACAAAAGGAAGGGTGTGTTACAATAGGGTGAAGAAAAAAATGTCTTAAGTAGCATTTAAGGAGTAAGGAGAACACTAATTTTCTTTTTAAAAAAATGTTTTATTTATTTATTCATGAGAGACAGAGAGAGAGGCAGAGTCACAGGCAGAGGGAGAATCAGGCTCCCTGCCCGGAGCTCGATGTGAGACTCGATCCCTGGTCTCCATGATCCCATGCCAGGCTTAAGGTGGCGCTAAACCGCTAAGCCACCCAGGCTGCCTGAGAACACTAATTTTACACACAATTTTGGGGTTACTGGAGTATGAGAAGCTCCCATTTGAGAAAGATTCAAAAGAAGGATGAAGGATTCAAGAGAAGAAATGTCCATGAGGAATGTTGACTGTTGGTAATGTAAAAAAGGCTGATTTCCTTGGCATGAAGTTTTCTGAGGGCACAGGTGGAAAGTTTGGAAGAAAGGTTGGCAGTAGGAATTGAATCAGCAGGGAGGAGGCTCTAAGCA